CTCTGCAGGTGACGAGGCAGGCATTGCTCAAACTCAGATGATCTGAGGAGAGGATGCGGGGCTTCCTCCTCGCGACAAAACTCGGGGAGACGTAAGACTCGGGTACGGGGGACGCGGGTTGGCCTGACGGGGTCCATCATAAAAATGACGAGACGCAATCTGAAATTTGACGCGAGCTCCCACTGCAAACATCCCACGAAAACTGGACCGTCAAAATCCAGGACGCGCTCGTCAAAAAACGTCGGCAAACCCGAGTTCCGGCTTACTCGAGTCTTACGCTTCCCCGAAAAACCTCGGTTCCCCGCGACTGTGGTGCGCCAGCGATGTGGCCGTTTGGCGTCCACCGGCGCAGGGCCGATCTCTTACAAAACCAGCTGTGCATTATCCCTGGGCGGGCAGGTGACGGAGATAAATGGTGAGGGTGATGATGATGGTGGTGGTGGTGATGATGGTGGAGATAATGATGAGGTTGGTGCTGGTGATGGTGATGATGATAATGATGGTGATGATGACGATGATGATGATGATGCTGACGATGATGATGGTGCTGCTGCTGGTGATGATGATGATGATGATGATGATGATGATGATGATGGTGTTGGTTATGGTGATGGTAGGGATGGGGATGGTGCGGATGATGGTGTTGGTGATGATGATGATGATGATGATGATGATGATGATGATGATGAGGATGATGATGGTGGTGATGATGACGAAGTTGGTGATGGTGTTGGTGATGGTGATGGTGATGAGGAGGAGGAGGAGGCGGCGGAGGAGGAGGAGGAGATGCGAGATGGCCATCGCGGAGACGTCTCGGGCACCGCCACCCATACCATCGTCCCAGCGACACGGGAAGAGGAGAGGGCGGAAGGAGGGGCTGGGACGAGGAAGCATCTGCAAGGGGGGGGTGAGAGGGGGGGACCAGGCTCCGTCCCCGGAGGAGAGGGGGGCCTGCATGCCCCGAGGTCTCGGCCTGGCGCACCCGCTCGCGGCGGGGGCGGCGAGCCCTGACATCCTCGCGCCGAGGAGCAAGACCAAGACGTCGACAGCCTCTCTCCTGGAGCGCCGTCGTCGCCACGGCGGGATCCGCCTCGAAGACCTGGTGGAACGCACCACGGGAGGCCCCTCGGGGTCAGGCTGTTCCACTACGCTGAATGCCGGGAGCACCCAACGTGTGGCACTTCTACAGAAGTCTTCCTCCGTGGTGTCAGGTGTCACGCCCGAACTGGGTACGGACAAAGGTGGAACTACGCTGCCCATCATCACATGCTGTTGCTCAACACACCAATAGCAGCAAATGTTGGACAGGCGGTTGTTTGTTCAAAATTGACAGCCTCCGCGGCGACACCGTCAACCTGGAGGCCTCCCAATTGGGGTCCGCCTTAATGTGGTCGGGGGATACCGCAGCATTGGCGACGCATGGGCGGTGCATCGGCGATGCGTCGGCGACGTCGAAGATGCATCGGCGCCGTCGGCGTGGAGAGAATCTCGCTGCACACCGAACCGCATCGCCGATGCATCCTCGATGCGGCGCGATCCTCCGACCCAATCTGTTCGGGCCCCTACCCCGGGACTGGCGTTGCCTGTGGAGTTGATTTACGACGGCCTCGGAGCCCTGTGAGGGCACCAGGAGGTCGAAGGTGGCCAAGCACCATCCGTCGTGATTCTTCTTCACGACGCGAGGATGCCAGGCTTTTGAGCAATGACTCGCTTGTCCGGCGGCCGATCTGGACCCTCGACGAGGCGCAGCTGCTGGAAGGGATCCCGAGGCGAACAGAAGTCCCCAGGAATTGACGACGACGTCCGAGAGGAGAAGGCGAGAGGGGGGGAAGTCTGCGTGAGGTCGGTCGGTGGCTGGTCGGCCGAAGACCACAAGCGGCTCAGTCAGCTGAGCTCTTCTGGAGGGTGGTGGCATCAAAGTCAGCCCTCAGTCCAGAGGCGGCGCCAGGGCGCCGATGATAAAAAACGTAATAGGATGATAACGACGGCGTTCAGGACGAGGCCTGCTTGAGGAGGCTCAGGAGGAGGCTCATCTGCTTCGCCACGCCCGGGGTGTTGTCCAGGATCACGGTCGGGCGCACGACCTGCATCACCTCTCCGGGAGGGGGACCCCGGGGAGCGCATCGCCGCCGCCGCCGTCGGGTCGTCGCCTTCCTTCGTCGATTCGTCGCCGGTCGACTCGGCGTCGTCGATTCGTCGACTCGTCGTCTTCGCCGTCGTCGACTGCTCGTCGTCGATTCGTCGTCGATTCGTCGTCGTCGCCGTCGTCGTCGTCGTCGTCGTCGTGATCGCCGCGTCGTCGTCGTCGCTTCGTCGTCGTCGTCCGCCCGTCCGCAGGCCGACCGCCCCTGCACCGCCGCCGCCGAGCCGCCCCCCCGGGGGTCGTGGAGGGGGGGGGGGACCGAGTGTGGGTCGGGAGGGGGGCCCCCCCGGGGGTCGGGGATGGAGGGGATGGAGGGGAGGGGAGGGGAGCCCCCCCGGGGTCGGGGAGGGGAGGGGTCGTGGAGGGGAGGGGATCGAGCCCCCCCGGGGTCGTGGGGGGTCGTGGAGGGTCGTGGAGGGTCGGGGAGGGGAGGGGTCACGGCCAGGAGCGACTCACCAAGGAAGGACCCCTAACCCTCTGGCAGGGGACACAAAGTTAGCAAGGGCTCCTAAGTTCGCGCTTCGCGCTGCGCGAAGCGCGAAGCGCGAATAACTTCGCGCTCTCGCGCCGCCCCCCAAGGGGGAGAAGAGGAGGACGAGGAGGAGGGGGAGGAGGAAGGAGGACGGCGAAGCGCGAAGCGCGAATAACTTCGCGCCCTCGAGGGAGCCCTTAGTTAGGAGGGCCAGCAAAAACAGAGGGATCTGAAGCCTTTTTTATTTGTCCTGCGGGGGTCTCGAACCAGACCGCCCAGATCTACAGTCGGGACGTTGACCTAAGGAACCCTACTTGAGGAACGAGGCCCCTTCTCCCCACCAGTTAAAGTTCGATGTCCCATCGAAAACCTAAGGAACACCTAGGGCAAGCCGTGAAACAATCCAGGAACACGGAGCCCCTCCCAACGAGAAGGGTTCCTGCTTCAGCGCCCCGACTGTATGATCCCCAGTGCAGAGACGTCGACCTCAGGGAGGCTGCGCCTCGCGTCTTCACTGTGTTGTTCGGGCTAGGGGTTCTTGCACTCTCGGTGAAGGAGCCTTCGCTCAGAGCGTCGCGGCGGCGCCCTGGCGACACAGTCAGGGCATTGGATTCCAATCGTGGCGTGTGGCCATGGATGTCACTGCCGCCCCCATGAGACAAGGCATCCTTCAGGGTCTAGAACCTCCTGGGCACATTCCTTCGCGACCGCCCCCGCCGTGCGCCATGCCGTGCAGGCTGATAGCGTTCAGCAGGTCGGGAAGCTGGGACACGCTCGGGAAGCTGACGCCTGGTAATGGGGACGTGGTCAGTGCGTCGCGCCGAAGCGTGGTGGGCCAGAACCGGCGCCGCGGCACGCTGAGCAAACGCTCCTGGCCGTAGGTTCAGGTCGGGCGTATCCTCCTACAGGCGGATTATTGAATGACAAATAAAAAGATAGTCCACAACATGCTCAAACATGGTCAAACATATTCTAAGAATCGTCCTCTACACTATGTTGTGCTACTTTTGAATATCCTCCTGCAGAGGGAGAGAGGATGAGAAGGAGGAGGAGCACGAGGAGAAGGAGGAGAAGGAGGAGGAGGAGGAGGAGGAGGAGGGATGAGGAGGATGAGGATGAGGAGGAGGAGGAGG